GAGAGCAGTTTTGACATTATACTTGGAAGGCGGACATATCCTATCATTTCCTCAACAATCTCTTAATGAATGAGAGAACAACTTTCTCCAAGATATGGACACCTCCACCAGGAATTGAGATTCTCCACTTAATTATGCATGCCCCTTCATCCTCTTGTAATTCTAATGACATATCAAGAATTCCATTATGGCTTTCTCTTTCTGATTTCCTTTGATCAGCATATGAACCCATTATTGGCTTGGAGAACCTGCAATAAACTAGGAGCATGTAAGCAAATGCAACCTTGCATTTTCTTAGGGCAATATTTTCTTCTGAATGCATTGTGACAAAACAAGTTGCCAGATTAAAAGTAAGTGAAAATCTAGCTGATATCTTCTGATATTCTGTCTTCCAAAATTCAGATCAGAAATTTAGATTGGGTTTAGTGCAAGAAAATAATATTTAATTTTAATTTCCTAAATATATATGTATTTATTAATAGGTAATTTGACAAGCCCCATTCAGTTCTATCTTAATATGCATAACATCCCGCCTCTCAAACCTTATTCCATGGTATTTACATAAGATTTCCTTCTTCCTTTTTCTATTGATTCTTTTCCGAAGAAAATGCATGAATCCATGGATCTATATGTTTGCATAGATCCTGTTGATGGATTAAAAAAAATGTGCAAAAATTCTATTTGTCTATGTCATTCCTTGATTCTCTTCCTTTTTGCATACGGTCTTGCCACTCATATGGATCTATATGTTTGCATAGATTCTGTTGATGGATTAACAAAAATGTGCAAAAATTCCATTTGTTTGTCATTCCTCAATTCTCTTCCTTTTCGCATACGGTCTTGCCACTCATTTTGGCAACATCCACTAATTCGGGTCTCATTCCGAAGTTATTTTTTGACTTGAACGGTTTCGGGAAGCCACTAATAACCAATGAATACCAAGTACTTTTTCTGGTGCGAATCTTATTTCAATAGCAACATAATGAGTTGATCTAAACTATACGTCTTGCTTTTATTGTTATATTCGGAATTACTTCATGTATTCATTGACGCAAAACAGATAGTGAATTTGTTTATATCTTTTGTTGAATCGTTTTGAAGGCTCACATAATTTGAAAAGTCAAATATTTTTTTTGTATTTCAGAATATGGTTAACCAATATGTTAACTAATTAATTATGATAAATCATATCAGTTTTGCAGTTTTTTCTTCTGTAGTACCTCGATGTGATATGAACGTAAAAAAAGTTCAAGAATTATTTTAGCTTTTGGAACTCATATTACTGAGTGTATTCAAAAGACACAAATGATGTCCCTTTTACAAAAAAAAATTACGTTAATATGAAGTCTAGAAACCGCTCCCCCCCCAACCTGCTGTCAGTTACATCAATAATTCCACTACTCGTCATTTTCCACGGAAGCACGATGTCAGCATAAAACTTTGCCATCTGAATTGAAGTTTTGCCACATCAACATTTTTTTTAATATCCCTAAGATTAACATTTTTTTAATTAGTATTATATCCGAAAAAAAAGATAAACAATAAAAAACTAATTGTGGCAAGGCAATATCCAACTTGGCCTGGTTGCATGCAGCACCCAGGTTTGTCATGCATCTAGCCCACCATCCTGAGGTTTGGCGGCTCCCAGCTCTTGGCCTTGCAGAACCCTGTAGCTCGTAGTGCCTTGGCTCATGAGGTTTAGCTGCAAGCCTCACTTGCGCTTGTGAGGGTTGACCACAGCATTATGCCTGGCCTCCCGGGTCATGCTGTCCACTTCACCTGCCCTTCCAAGGTCTAGCCATCTGCTTGCAAAATGAGGCATGTGTTGTGTCTGCTTACGTGACAATTTGAGCTCATTCACCAGTGTGAAAAGAAAAATTCACGGAATTAGCTAATCAATTCTGTTTCTAGGGGTTTAGTAATTGTTTCTTTCAAGTATTTAGTTCTAGAAGGACTTAAATAAAGAGTAATTAGTTTCTTAACTGCTTTGGGTGGTTCTCTATGTAATAAGGTGGTCTTCTATGCACTAAGAATTAACTGGCCTTCAGGATCTTGCACACTGGTTTATATACAATAAAATTTCTAGGAACTATTTTCTATTTTATTCAAGAGATTCAAGAGTTTCCTTTAATTAATGCTTAACATTAACCATGATTAGAAAAGAGAAAAACTCTCGAAAAAGCAAAGAGTTTTATCAACAAATACCCATAACAAGATCCTAAACTCAAGAGAGAGAGCATTTGGCATCGGAACCAAAAAAGAACGGATTGGTGTATATTTTATTAAATATTACATCTTATATATATATAGATTTTTTAGGACGGAAAGGTAATAGACAATTAATTAAGTTTAATTATATAGGAGTTAATTCACTCTTATACCCTTTGACCTAATTTTTTATTTTTTTAACACTTTTTCTCAAATGGGGAGTAGATGTTGTCCATCACCCATCCTTCTAATAAGAGTTTCGAACGTTACATTACCTAATCCTTTAGTCAACACATTCACCAGTTGAGAATTGGTAGACATGTATAGGATACATATTAGACCATTTGTCAAGTTTTTTTTTTTTATAAAATATTTATTGACCTCAATATGTTTGGTCTCTTCATGTCACACCGAATTTTGTACAATGTTTATGCCTGACTTGTTGTCACAGTATAGGCGCATGAAGTTTTCCCATGTGATTCTAACATCTTCCAAAATCCTTATTATCCATAATAGTTCATATATACCAGGTGTTATTGCTTAGCATTCTGATTCTGCATTTGATCTTGCGACTATATTTTATTTTTTACTTCTTCAGGTGATAGGGTTGGCTTAAAAGAAGGTACACTATTCTGTAGTAGACCATTCTTGTACAACTAATCCTACATAATCTCCATCAATATATGATCCTAGGAGCAGTTTACCACTCTTTTTGAACATAGTTTCTTTTCCAAGTGACCCTTTTGGGTAATACATATTTTATAGGTTGCTTATAGTAACTTCTTTCGGACTATGCTTGAATTGACTTATACAGCTCA